CCAGCACTGTGAGTGGCAGGGCAATCTGGAGGGTGTAAACTTTCATGTCTGTCTGGTTGGTCTCCATAGCACACTCCATTGGAGCAGGTTGACCCACTGCCTATCTGAGTTCACCTGAGGTTAACAAATATCATCCACCAGGAAGGACAGAGCTTGTAGCTCACAGCAGGGATGAGGAAAGGAAGCAAATGAATCACTCCTCTGGGGCTTTCCTCAGCTTTTTCTCTTTCATTGTGCACTGCCTCCTCCAAGAATTAGCCCTTATTATTTATAAGGCTGACAGTTCATCTGAAAATATGAGGCAACACAAAGAAACAAACATCAGATCCTTCAGTGCTAACAATTCTGTTCTCGCTTAACTATGACATGACTTATGTACTAATTTCACCTGTCTGAGACATTAGGGAGTAACACTGAGAAAAGAGCGTAAAAAAGAGCGGAGCAGCCTTACCTGAGATGAAGGGCAGTGGCACAACGTGTCCAGTGCATGAGAGGCACAGGCATTAAAAAACTGTCAGTGGGTAACTTCTTCAGGCAGACCGTTTGAAAGAAAAGAGGCTCCATGAGGCAGATGAAGCGTTTCCTCTGCGTCTCCTCTCTCTCTCCTCACACAATGATCTCTGTGCTGCATCTAGTTGTGCTCAGTAGCGGACCTAATAGAGCGCTAATCACGTTATCCCGGGCGCTGCCGTGCTTCTGTCTGCGTGTGGAGTTTCTCTCCTCAGTGTTAACCAGTGCGCCACTCCCTCTCTTTATATTCCGCACGCTGCAAAAAGTGTCCCCATCACCGGGCCACTGTGCTTCCGCGGAGTGTCAACACTAGCGTTTTGCCATGCCATGTTTATCTGGCAACATATCGCACACAAAATACGGTCTGCAAGCTTAGTGCAACGGGGAGGCGGAGATGGAAAGGAAAAGAAATTAAAAGAAAAGAAAACTTGTGCAACTTCTGAACGAAATAACAGGTATATCTGGATCATGCGATGTTGTTACATTTTTGTTTAATTTAATTTGTTCCCCTTCAAGAATTACTGCTCCAGGTGTTTGACATGACGCCTCGTGATCCTGATTTTTAAAACGAAAAAACAGCCAGAGTAAATAGATACTAAAGGCAGAATTACTGCAAGAGAAAGAACGCTTTTTTGTGGCAAAGTTATGGAGGTTTTAATTCAGGTCACTGAGTAAGAAGCCACATTTTGCAGTTCAAAAAGAGACTATTGAAAGCGTAAAGTACAGGCCGTGTTGGGACAGATATTTTTTGCAGTGCAGCTGCTAGACTCTGTTGCTAAGCAGCTGCCATGGACACACCATGTGGATATCAGAGAAGCATTTTATTACCCACCAAACCTAATTTATTTGGCCACCTTTCACACTCCATGTAGAACACACAAGGGAGTCCCCAAACTTTTTCGAGAGCGGACCTCCGACTGACTCACAGACCTGTTTGCCTGAAGGATACATATAACAAAGTGGCCAATGGTAGCAGAGGCTCGGGCAGATGTAGAGTATTAGCTCTGTATTCCCAACAGAATCTAAAAAAAATACAACCTGTTCTATAAGGAGTCCTCTCTGTGTGTGTGTTTCTCTGTGGCCACTTATTGAAGCAAATTCAGTGATTAGCAGAACTTTTTTTTTATATTGGCACAGACGATCTTATCAGTATCTCGTGATATAAACAGATTGCTGCCAAGTAATATTTTTCTTCAAACATGCAGGTGGTTTTCTTCTTCAGTGTAATCTCATGGTGGCTGCTGACTTATAGGGCATTAAAAGTGGATAATGAGGATAAAGCTAAAAATTAAATTAAAATGGTTCAAATTAAATAAATATCAAACATATTTTTGCCTTTCTATTTATTTTCTAATGTGTCCTGTGTGACTGTCTTGCCATGTAATGAGAATCAAAAACTGTTTCTTGTGAAAAAGTTGTATAGTGGGACATGTATCACAATACAAGCCTATTAGGAGTCACTGTGCAATCCACTTTGCAAGACAAATCCTGCAAAGTGATAAAAAGTTACCCAGTGACCTGAAATAAACCTGCCCAAATATTCCTTTTCAGCATTCTGACATCATGACAAACCTTATCTCTCAACCTCCTAATTAACAGTCACTCCGAGTCACACCCAAACACGCAGAAATTTGACTATAACTATGAATAGAAACCCTTTGTCTCTTTACATGTCATGAACTCTGTTCAGTAGTTCACCTGATGTTTGAATTCAAATATTTAACTTCACCTGATGCTTGCATTACTCTGCCCAGTCCAGTTTACTTAGACTATATTATTTACCTGTCATATGATGCATGCATTGCGTCCATAGACTAAGGATGTGCCAGGTAATCACACAACAGCTGCAACAATTTAACACTAAAAAACATATTTATCAGTATGAAAAAAGGATAAATACTGGATCTTTACTGAACTTTAAAATAAACCAACTGTGCGCCGAAGCCGAAAAATGTTTTTCATAAATCTAAGACAGCAAGGGAACATTAAAAAAGAGAGTAATAAAGAGTCAGTTTTAAGTATTACTTAAGTCAACTAGAAAGTAGTTATTTTCCTAACTCTGACACATACAGTGTGGGCAGTATTCCTCTGACATTAGATCAAAAATCTCACAAGACTTCGCAAACCCCACAAATGCTAATCCCCTCTTTTTATGTATACAATTTATAGCTGGAGAAGCCTGCGCTTTTGTTTGGTTTGGACACTTTTAGCATTTCTTTAGATTTCATCCACTGGGGGATTCATTATGGTCCAAACTCCCAGACTCTTCTCAGAAAGTCTTTCTTACCACAGAAACTGTGCTGAATGCATTGTTTGTGTTCCACTAAAAAAAAAAATCGCTCCAGCAGGGTGACTCGAAGGAGGGAAATCTCGAAGAGAGGACACAGAGTACGCTGCTTATCATCAGTGTGTGCCGGGCGCGCTCAGAATGCAGGAGTCAGCAGACACACTGAAAAAAGTGTCGTGATAATCTTGACTTCAGTTGTGCTCGTCTCTCACAAACAAACTAAAGCTGCAACAGTTAATGGCGACTTCAGTGGGTTTAACACCCTGTTGGTGTCTATGCTGTGGAGAGGCTAAAACTACAGCTCTAATTATGAACCAACCATATTTTAGTTTGCAATTTTAGCTAATAATACACTGATTTTTACAGTCACGTGCTTACATGTAGTGTCAAATTTTCTGATGTTTTTTCCGGGGATCTTTTATTTTCTATTCACCGTTAATTTGATGATTTGGATCACGGAAACAGAAGTGTGTCTTTCACCCTGTTCACTCCAAAGCAGGAGCAACAAGATGTGGAAGAGAAAATTGACATGATTTTAGTCAGAAACATGTAACCCAATAGCTTAATGGATTATTAGAAATTTTGGTTGCTCTGTGATTGTCTTCTGTTGAAGCCATAAACCACAAACTATCCGATAAATGTGCGGAAAGCTTTTAACGGGAAGTCAGTGAATATTCAAAGTGCGAATCGCTGCTCACAGGCAGGACCCACAAAGAAGCCTGACAATCCAACTCTTATCTGTCCTGGCTGATGAAATGATAGCAGCCGTACAGCGAACTGGCTGACTGTTTTTGGGTAAACATTGTCTCGTGGCGCCGGTTGATGCATGAGGGCGCGCACAAAGCGCAAGGATACAGTGACACCTGTCGTCTCCAGCAAGAGCCTCCCAGCTTCGAGAACCAGCTCCGTGGGAAAAAAGATATTTATGGACAACACAGACGATGAGGAAGTGGAGGAGGTCAATGAGCTCAGTGTTTTTTCCCCCAAGTTTATGATTTCCTTTGCTAAAGACAGATATGTGGGAGACAGCACTCTCCCACAGTACATACTTGAGCGTAACTAGACGAGACGATGAACTCGGTTGATCGGGTTGATTTTCAGATGGTGGTGGTAGCTCCATGGTGACATCATGTGAGTATTATTATAGATTTATTTAAAAAGATGAAATGAAGACAAGAAAAAAGAAGAAAACCCCGTTTCGAGCTTAAGTTAGAAAACAATTTCATCTCCCCAGCAGGGGGCGGTGTTGCACTGGACTGATGACACCGATACAGCTTCAGGCCGTTAGAGAGACTGTGATTACTTAAAAAACAAACAAACAAACAAACAAACATTGTGTAAAATGCACCTGATGCTCTTTTACCATCTTTCGTTACACTTTATGTAGCATAAATGAAACCGTATTAACCTCAAAGGCAAGGTGAAAATAGCCAGTCTGAAAGTGAATTATAGATAGATGGTGAGAACATCTGTGGCAATGCTGCATGTCATTTCATTTAGAACATTAGAAGAGTGTACTTTATTACAAATTAATAAATAGATTTTTCTTTCTTTGCATTTTTAGACTGATTGCATTTTGGGCTACGATAAATCTTAATGATTTGTTATTGAAGAAACTACTAGCTCTTAGAAAAGTTTCTTATCAAGGCAAAGTCCCACACCACCAGTGATGAAGCCCCAGTGCATGTCCCACTAACTGGAACTGTTTCTCTGTACAGCTGCTTGCTGTTGCCACATTTTAACAGCACAACCACCTCTTAAAATTGCCACTGTGGTTACATTAAAAAAAAATTTGTGTGTGTTTATTTGGTTGGTTGGTTTCTGCTATTTTAGAAATTATTGATGTTGTGTTTTAAAGGTGAGTATAGTAAGTTTTGATTTTCAGAGCATGATGATTGATGACGATTAAGCACGATGAGTTTTTACTTGCACTTTCCTTTAATAAATCATGTGGATGTTTTGGATTTGCTCTCATGTTTTTTCATCATGGTGGGGAAAAAACAGCTTATTAATTTCAAGTCTCTTTTAACCTTTTAACATTAGGGAAACGTTAATATTAACTTAATATTCCCATGCTGTGATGTCTGTCTGGAATAAAACGATAGAAAAATGGGGGAAAATGGGGAAAAGGGGGGGGGGGATCCTGACTTAAAAAAAATGTGAAATTTAAATACAAGCACATGAATTTGTAAATATTTATCAGTTTATTACAGTTAAAAAGATGTATGTACATACAGAACATCACCAAACATGGTCATTTTCACTCATTTGCAAAGTAGTACTCTGCAGCTAGTTGGTATCAGAATAATTTTCTTACAATGGGGCGGCATTGATTAAGTTTGTCATTTACAACCAAGCACAAGAGTCAGTGTATTTCTCTTCTTTTCCAATTGCCAAATAATGCTTAATAAAGGCATATATATCCAAACAAATAAAACATCGGAGGGGGGTGGGGGTGCTTAGTAAAACAGACTGTTGTTTAATTGCTGGTCCAGATTTCCTGTTTCAAACACACAGCTGTACACAGGTGGAAACACCTCAGACTGGATCTTAGTCACTGGTTAGCAATGAAGACTCACATAGAGGTAGTCATGTCTGCGTCTGCTCGTCCAGTCAAGAAACAACTCATCCAAAATCTGTTATGTCCAAGGACCCGCATCTCTTTACTGGCGTAAAAAGGAAATAAAAGAAAAAAATGACTGTTTTTGTGGATTAAATCAAGCGGTCATAAAGGTTTTGCTTGGTGCACATAAGGCAGTCAAGTAAATGTATGGAGATACTACAGGAGGATGTGTCAGTGGCTGGGTGCGATTCAGATAAGTATGCACTGGGAAAGATTGGACAGCTTCACATTAAAGGGCCATTCCACCAAAGCTGACTCGGTTTATATACAAAAAAGATGAGTAATTATGAATCCATGTTCCCTCATGTGGAAACAAACCTGGAATTTTTTTGTTGTGTTTCTGAAAACATGTCCAAAACTACCTAATCTCAGTATAGATTTATTTTTAAGAAATGAAGTTTAGTCTCTCTGCAAAACTCCTGAATTAAACCTGATATAACTGCAGAGATAAGATATTAAAAAAATAAATACGTTGTTCTTTCGCAAAATAACAATGCAAGTCAGTGTTGGTGGAATTCCCTTTTAATGCCAAAGACAAGGGAGACGTAAGCTAATGCACATCCACTTGGTAGCATAATGGCATCATCTTCCATTGCGCTCTCTGTTTTCTTGAAAAACTCATCACATTACAGATTTTGTAATACTGAGCCTACCATAACGTCAGATTACTGTACAGAGTAAAAGGAAAAATAAGACAGAAGAAACTAGACCCAAATTTACATTGTAACAACCAGTTGCTTGTCATCAAGTACAGTCAGTGGCCATAGACACAAGGAATAGCCAAACAAACACATAAAAAAGACCATTAAGGCTGCTTGTCAATGTAGATTAAGTAGGATAAGCATTGCCACACAATGCTTCGACACCCTTTGCAATATACAAAAAGGGAGCATTTGCAGATACACCAAATAGCCACTAAATCGAAATCTTCTATGCAAAAACGCCCGATTCTGACCCAGACAAATCATGTCAAATATGTGTTCAACATGCTTGTTTCCTGTACAAAATAACAAGGCAAGAAAATGACGACTCATATGATCCAGAAACAAAAAAGCAAAAGGAGCAAAATGACTGATTCTGTGATGCTCTCGATGGCCTAAAATCACAAACGATAGAAAAATAAACAAAATACTCCAATTATTTTGGATGCACCAGTACGCAATACATCATCACCACCTGCAGCAACAAGTCAGCACCTGGAACTGAATGGACAGGTCTGTGATCTCCATCTCCTCCTCAGAACATTAAAACTACATTCCACGATCTGATAAATGCTCTCCAGTCGATCAGCCCCGCTCAGTTCGTGCCTCACCTCCCGTCATCTCGTCTCTTCATACCCTGGCATTCTCAGCCTTGCAAAATGGCACATGAATAAAGTAAAACAGAGAGACTGAATGTAAAAATGGGTCACAGCGCTCACGCTGCATACCTAATGCACATCTCACTTTTGAGTACTCGTTGAAGGCATTTTTCACACAATTGTTTACAGCTAAAAGTAAATACACACACAAAACAAAAGAAACTTCCAAAGCTTTTATATAAAACCCAGGAATGCAATGCCTCCGGTGTGTTGTTGAGCGTGAACACAGAAAGCCCTTTTTACAATTTTTTTTGTCTTTTTCCGACAGTCTTGTACTGTAACTGCGTTAAGCTCAAATATGCACCTTGTGTTGTCTCATCGTTGTGTCCGAACGATTTGATCTGTGTGAAAACCACCGGGCCTGATGCTTAACCGAAAAGGTCAGTGGATTTGTCCCTTGTCAGGTTTTCGAGTGAAGTCTCTATCGTTCTTGGGAGTGGATCGTTTTCCCTTCTCCTGCCCTACTCGGCTCCCTCTGTCTCGGAACAGCATATGTTTAAGTCCATGAAAAGCAGCAACAGGTTCTGCTGGTAAATTAGAAGCAGCGTTTCATTGTTCCCCCAACCCTGACCTGACCCAACTCCAACGTGAGCTGTGGTGCTCACGTCACTTGGGCTTCCTGTTGAGAAGAGTGGCCAACACAACCCACTAAAACACACCAAGCTGCTGCAGAGAAAGTAGGCCCACACATGTCAATACAAAAAAAGATCCATGATTGAATATAGAATTGGGATGCAAAACATCCTAAGGAAACAAAAAAGGTTTGGTTTGATTTCCTTTTGTTGGATTCTTAAAATGCACAGTCACAGGAGATAATACTAACTGAAAGCACATTTTATCATTTTGAATAAAAAAAACAAACAAAAAAAAACCCCCAAAACAAATTGATTTAAAATAAACTGGGCTCATTTGAACTGCAGTTAGCTGTTATGCTTGCAACAGAGAAAGCAGGATATGTGAATATTAAAACTGTCTCACACCCAGAGACCCTTTTTTTTTTTTTTTTTAACAGTTCAAGAGAGCAGGTTCCTTTGCGACTGAAAGGAAAACCTTCCCCAAAGAAAGTTACCATTTATTTTGAGCCAGTGAAACTCAGCATTTATATTTAATTGATACAAATTTACAACCGTTTAACAAATAAAATACTTCTGAAACAAAATGCCCCCATTCAAAAATAATCAATGAGAGACTACTGATTTTTTTTTTGTCTTAATATAGAGAATGCAAATAAAAAGTGCATACAAGCAGCAGCATTGCTGGGACAGTGTGGGACAACAAAGATATCTTTAAAAAAAAAATTAAGTTACAAATCAATACAAATCAAGGAAATAGTTTGCATGATGCTATTAAGATTCTTAACTCGACCCTGTGAAAACAAACTACAGAAAATTAAAGACATTTTTTAAAAAGAAAAAAGAAAGAACTTTCAAGAAGTTACCGGCCAATGTTTTATTATAAATGTTTTTCTTCTTTTTTTTTTTTAAACTCTCATACACTCACCACTTGCTCCAGAAGCTCAAAACGTCTTTTAAAAACGCTTGATATGTTGGTCAATGATCAACTGGATGACAGCTATGCAACCCAACACTGAAGATAATATCAAACAAGTAAACATAACTAAAAATTGCACTCAAGGCAACAACCAGTATTTGTATTAATATATAAAAACATCATTTATCCCATCACCTATGTATGCGCTGATGTTTCTCAATACCTTTTTGTCACATAAAATCAATATAGACAGGGCCCACAGCACTGCCTGTTTTGGAGAAAAGTCCAAGTTGCTTCTGTTTTTCAAGCATGTGTGATTGGCATTTCTCTATGTATGCATTTACTATCTCCTGCTGCTATTTATTTTAAAAAAAAAGACCCTAAAAAAGTAAAAACAAAAAGTAACAGCAGTAATTTAAAAAAAAGTTACCGAAATAATTTGTCTTTGTACTCTTGTGGTCAACCGTGTTTAGAAATAAACCACTGGTTCACTCTAAACATAGGCACATTTAAAAAAAAATTAAAAGGTTAAAAAAACAAAACAAAACAAAATGCCAAAAAGAAAAAAGAAAAAAAAAAAGAACACCATCATTAGACCTTTGTTCTCTATAGTCAAGAAGCAATTAACACAATTTATGTCAAGGGAAGATGAGGTTTAAAAAAAATGTTTTAAAAATGGGAGAGTCAAAAGAATATATAACAAGATGACGTTAAAAATCACGGCAGCAGCAGTAAGTTAAAAGTTCCAAAGACTTTTTGTTTGTTTTTGCATACAATTGTATCCTTGCTCACATAATAGATGCTTGTAATTACCGTAAATACATTGGCAATGGGAGCATGGTTTATATGGTTGAAAGACTTGCCACTTAGCTCACAGTTACTCAATATATATAACTTTATATATCTTCAGTTTTGGCAAATAGATGGAAATAATTCCTCTTGTATGATTCGGAATGAAAGACGAGTTACGGGTGATGGACTGGCGTCCTAAAATGACCGTGATAAACTGGAGAAACACAGAAGTCAAGTCTCCAAAGGTTTGCTTTGCTTCTGCCCAAGGATGATAAAAAGAAACATTTTCCTCCTCAGTATCCTCTTTTTATTTGCCCCACCGACACCTGTTGTGACGAGTGTGTTTTCTTTACAGTGTATGATACACATAATGAGGGTGGGCAGGCAAAAGGGTGCAGAGCAAGTGGAGGGTTTGCAGTTAATCAGGACTGGCATTGAGCTGCTCTTGGCTCAGACCATGGCACGGTATGGTCCCTGCATCTTGAGGAACTGAATGATGAAAGAAGGGCCTCCTGCGACAATCTGGGGTGGCAGATGGGTGAGGGGACAGTTCTCTATGCTCATGATGGACAGTTTACTGCAGAGGGCCAGCTCAAATGGAAGGCTGTGCAGGTTGGGGTTGTCGTTGAGGTACAGTTCCTCCAAGTTCTCCAGTGTGCCTGAGGACAGACATTATGCAGTGTTAGTTGAAGCGTATACTGTCATCCAGGGAAACTGTGTCAATAAAATCATTTTTTTTCAATGATAGCTCCTTTATTTAGTATATTAGATTTGATGCACTTTAAGCACTCATGAAATAGCAAATCAGGTACGCATAAGTGCAATTAATTCCAGCGCGCCAAAAGCTCAGGTCAGATTAGGTTCTGGTCATCTCCGCTAGACACCCCTGGCTCTGAGCAAAACAGCATCACCAATCTATTGTTCAAAGAGACAGCCAATGAGAATAAACTTGGGCTAAAAGCAGGGCACCTAAGTGCAGTTAAAGATAATCCAGGATTATTAAGAATGAAACTGTGCAAAGCTGCTGTAGTAACTACCACGTCAAGAATAAAAGTATTTTATTTATATTGCAAGAGGTTTCCTTGTAATGTTTTGCAACTTTACTGATCATGATACCTAATGCTGCAACCAGTAATAATACAAACTGCCAGTTAGTGTCCTTTTGAAAGGCTTCACATGTTAGTGAATATGAAGGGCAACAACATAATTCATTCATATTAGAAAGGCCAAATTAAACCAAGCTCAGAAAAAATCATTAATGGCCATTAAGATGGTAAGAAAAGACTGCTACACTATGGGCAAACCTCCAATTTTCATTAGCTATACAAATTTTAAGTCTTACAAACTATAAATGTTGCACTGTTACTGCTTCAAAAGAAAATCCAAATACCTCTATACCACATCTATAACCTACTTCTTCTCTCTGCCTAAACACTCTAAAAATACACTAACCTTATCTTCTTTCCCCACTCATTTTAATCTCTGGCTTAACGCAACACTAACAAAGCTATCCAGATTGGTCCAGTCACTGGGAGGAAGGGTCAGAGGTGGCACATACTGTGGACTGTTAAGCTCTTGAACTCTAATGGTTACGCTTAGCCTTTATGGAAAAAAAATAATGGTTACATGTATTTTCTTTGTCATAAAGGAGATTTTCAGAATGGGTATAAGAGGAGTACTGACCAATCTCCTCCGGAAGGTGTTGCAGCTGGTTCTCCCCCAAACCCAGATGAGTCAGGTTGAGGAGGTGGCCGATTCCTCTGGGTAACATAGTCAGCTGATTATTTGTCAACACCAGTTTCTGAAACGAAGGTAGAGACAGCACAATGAAACTGTAAAAAGGCTTCTGATTCCACTGTATGCCACAGCATTTACCAGCTGGAGACCAACTGTGGATGATTATCTAATGTGTAGACAGGCTGTGCTGTATCTGCTCCTTAAAACTAAAGTGATTTCTATAATAAAGGATTAGGATCTCAGTTTTTAAGATTGTTAAAACAACTGATTCCGATTCATATACAACCGAAATCAGAGCAACCAGACAATTTTAGCAATGGTAGGCTTACCTGTAAATCTTTCAGATAAGCGATTTCATTAGGTAGACATTCCAACTTGTTTTCCTCCAAGTCAAGCTCCCTTAACTTTCTCAAATTCCCAATACCATGTGGTAACTTCTTGAGAAGATTATTGGACAATATTAACACCTGTGAAGACAATGAGGGTTTTTTTTAATGAGGAACAATCAGACAGCTTGGCACTATTAAATATAATGATTCACAGAATTAAACAATTAAGCATCACAATTAAACCAAAAAATAAACCCAGAAAAAGCAACAGCGGCTGATATGAGTTTATTTAATAAATCACTAGCCTCAAAGATAAGTTCCCAATGTTCATAATTTATTATAAATCTGTACCAAATATCATCTCTTTATGGAAGCCCGTTTCCGCCACTAAAAAAAAAAAAAAAAAAGGATCCATAACTCAAAATTTCGAGTTATTTTCTCGAAATTTCGACATATTAACTCAAAATTTTGAGAAAAGCAACTCGAAATTTTGAGTTAGCGCTGCCAATCAGTAATCTACGTGAATGACGTCATTTCCATGTTACCCGGAAGCTGAAGCCCTCAGCTACAAATGCTACAGCTAAGCTACCGGTATTACATCCAGTCGTGAATGCACAGATTGCTGAGTGTTTTCAGCCTGGCTTCACAAATGATGAAATCCCTGTGTTATTAGCTGAATCACATGGTGTTACTATCAGCAAACATACTTTAATTTGTTGGGATCCGTTTTTGAGTGCGCGGTCCTGCGCCATATGCTTCCGGGTAACAAGAAAGCGACCTCATTCACGTATATTTTTGATTGGCAGAGCTAACTCGAAATTTTGAGAAATGTAACTCGAAATTTTGAGAAATGTAACTCGAAATTTCGAGATAATAACTCGAAATTTCGAGTTATGGATACTAGCTTCTTTTTTTTTTTTAAGTGGCGGAAACGGGCTTCCATATCTCTTAGATATTGTGCTGAGATACTAAAAAAAAATAAAAAATAAAAAAAATCACCCAACATTTATGTATGAAAGACTCACCTCCAGAGAAGCAAGACCACAGATATCCTCTGGGATCTTAGTCAGCTGATTGGTGGCCAGGTTAAGTTCAACCATGCTAGTCCATGTACCAAAATCCAAAGGCAGTGCTGTTAACTGGTTGTCCTGAGCGAAGACAAAGGAAAAGCGTTATTAGCAATATAACTGACTATTCAGTGAGTCAACAAAATAGGGCGAGCAGACTGATGGATTACATTAGATATGCTTCTTACAATAAAACATATTCTTTTGAAATGACACTTTAAGAGTACTCACCGTGTGTTTTTTCCACGTAACAGATATTTGACTTCGATATATTTAATGATTCCATGAACTTTTATCGTTCTACCTCACTTTTATTAGAACTACTGTAAAAGCAAACTTTCCAAAAGTGCAGAATGTTGATTTGTTGCTTTGTTAAATATCAAAATTTTCTATGAATTCACAGGAGTGCATAACTTTTTGTATGTGACTCCATATTGCTCAGGTATAACAAAGCTTCAGTTCAATACCTGATGTTCCTGTGGTTTTTCTTCTCTGAAGATATTTTAACATGTCACAGCGCAGATTCAATAATGTTCAAATTCAATTTAGCTCCCTCAGTTTCAGCCTCCTAGTATTGCTCATGCTGGCTCACAGTCACAGCTTACTGGAACACTTGACAATAACAGAGCCATTGTCCACCTGGACCTTTCTTTTTGCGACAAGTCAAATATGTCTGCGGTAAAAACCAGGCTTAATATTCACCCGTTTTATCCTCTTGTGATACCTTACTACCACCAGACTTTGGCAAAAATAAAACAACAGCAGATAAAATGGAGATAATTTAACCAAAAGATATTAATTGTATATTGTATTACAAGCGTGTAACTATACCTTCATGTTAAGCTTGCTTAACACTTTTGCCCTGGAAAAGATGCCAAAGGGTATCTTGTTGATACGGTTGTGCTCCATGTTGAGAGAGTAAATGGTTGAGAACTGGGATGGCCCACCCACAGGGTACGACTGGAAGCAGTTTCTTGCCAGCGTTAAACTCGTCAGATTGACCAAACTTGACAGCAGACCCTGACCAAATACAGAAACAGTAGCATGGCAGGAATCATATGAGCAGGACAAGGCTGTTGGTATATGCGGTTGGGTTTTACACTGGATATATTCACAAGTAGACCACAAACATATCATATTACATTTGTGATAAAAATCCATGGTCTACTTACCTCTGGCAACACTGAAATGTTGTTGTTTTCAAGATTTAGCTCCTCCAGTTCTCGACATAGCGCTAAAGATCTGGGAATAGCTGACAATCTATTGTACCTCAGACCTAAGCGATTTATGCTTGCCAAGTTTCCTGAAATAGTAACCAAAAACATTTTTGCAGTCTTTTTGTATCATTATTAAATGTAGCTGGATTCACAAGGTTTTGGGGGGAAACAAAACAAATTTTAAAAAAAGCTTTAACAAAAATACAAACTGATGAATACAAATGATGTAGTTATATTACCTATAGTCTCTGGGAGGTCCAAGAGCTCATTGTGCTGCAAGTCGAGGTTAGTTATCTGTGTGCAATTTCCAATCTCCCTCGGTAGGTGTTCCAACTGGTTATGGGCAACGTCCAGAGTAATGAGGCTGCATAGCTCCCCTGCAAGAAGATGCATACAAAATACAAAAACTACTAATTCAACAAGGGTGTTTTCAATATTATACACTGGCCTCACTGACAACTTCTAAGCCTTTTGTCTCATTCCACATAAAGAGAATTTAAATACAGATTTAAATGTGCAAAACAGATTTTTTCCCCCCCGAATTGGAACAGCCAAGTTAACAGCAACAATTTTTAAATGCACTACAGTACGTTAGAGAGAACACTGACAATTACAACGCTGTTATTAGTTTGGGATTTTGGAATTTAGTAATGGTCTATGTAGTACTGCTGGAGCTGAAGGAGACTGTGTATAGGGGTGTTGTAGAATCATATACATTAAAAAAATGGCCATCACAACGTACACCCTGATTGAAAATTAATACAGCTAAATATTTCAAATCCATGGTCAATCACTCCCTTACACTGGAATCTTCTTACAGTCAGTGAAAAAAGGCTGTCTTTTGTCCTTCCTTCACCTGAAAAATTCATTTCCATTTTTCTCACCTATCTCAGCGGGTAGCTGTTTGATCTTGTTCTCACGAATGCTGAGCATGGTGAGTTTGGATAGGTTTCGGATGTCCTTCTCCACTGTTGTAATGCGATTGAAGCGCAAGTACAGCGTGGTCAAAGATGTCAAGCGATAGACGACTGGTGGTATCTCTCTTAGCTTGTTATGTCGGAGGTCAAGCATTCGAAGCTTCTTCAGGGAGTCCAGGGAGTCAGGCAAACTGGTCAGGGAGTTCTCACTGAGGGCCAAAGTGACCAGGCCTGATAGGCAACCCACCTCAGCTGGCAGGCTCTGCAGCTTATTGCTGTATAGGTAGAGTTCAGTCAACTGTGTCAACTCCTTAATGGAAGTGGGCAGAGTGTGAATGGACCGCTTGGACAAATCCAGTCTCGTCGAATTCTCCTCCCGACATTTGTTAAGCTCTTTGATCACCTCTGCATTACTGGACTTCTTGCGTGTACCTGTTGCTGGGTTTGGCCGCTTTATCGTATTGTCAACGGAGAAGGCAACACCTGGTGTTGAGCTGCTGGTGTCCTTCTTTCCTTCTTTGGCATCTTTCCCTTTGGTCTTCGGGTCTTTGCCCCCATCCTTCACTAAGCCAGCCGGACCACCTTTGGGGTCCTTTTCTTTCGTTTCTTTATCTTTACCTAAAGTACTACTCATGTCGACGTTATCGGGGAACCTACAAGATTGCTCATGGGAGTCTCTCTTGTCAGGTCACTTATTCCAAAAAAACAGGACAGACAGCCAAAGAGGCTTTTAAAAAACACATTCCTGTGCAGGCCCACACATTTACAATTACCCTTGGAATAAAGGCCTTTGGATCCAAAGACTTTTTGGATACTTATGATACTTTGTCCCTTTGTTAAAATGCCATGGGAGAAAAAATCCTTTGAAGTAGCTGGATTGTGGCATCCATAGGCCACATGCTTAAGTGTTTGAACAGCACACGATCCCAGGACCTTCGGATGGAAGCTCTTTCCCGTTGCAAAGGTTAATGAAGGTTTTTTTTTTTCTTTTAAAATTCCCTCGACGTTTGCTGTGGGAGAAAAACAGAAATTTTGTTTAAATTGGCAATTTTTACACTTTACAAATATAACACTTTGGATTTTGACAGTAAATTTTAACTAGCTGTCAGTCACTTTCTCACACAATTTTTGTTTCTTTTAACTCTTTCCTGGCAGTTCTGACAAAAAGAAATACCCCTTTTTGAAAGAACTTCTAAGAACAAAATGTTTAGAAATATTTTCTACTCTGATGATGAATCTTAAAAGTGTTTCCTACTAAAAGAATGCAGTTCTCATTACCATTTAAAAGAAATCTTTAGTCCTCTTGTAGTGGGCAAAGATCAGAATATGTGTATATGAAAACTGAGAAAAAAAAAGAGAATAAAATGTAAACATGCTCCTTAGAGTTGTGCTGATATATGACAATGTCGAGATCAAAGATTGTAAAAATGAGCGGCGATAGCATAGGTAATTTTTATTACATTTCCTCTTTAATGCATTAAATCATTATTACCATTATCATCATTATGAAAGTTTAATAAATTGGATCTGCCTTCACTATCATTTCTCCATAGAATCAACACATGCAACACAGAGATGTCTGGGTTTGCAAAGGCACGAAATTAATGTGAGTGAAGCAGCTGTAGCGAACCATCATCATCTACTGACAGAAAACAGGAGGATATTTCTGACTGCCGTACTGATTTTTGAATTAGAGCTTAATGTGACTACTGAGATGCTCTTCTATCTTATCTCATTAGGCCTTAGTCATCTAGGTCTAGAAACCAGGCAGTGATCCCCTGAAAACATCTGGCTGCTAGGGAGAAGCGTGTATTCCCAGACCGTCTGACAGCAGGCTGCTGGCTGCCAGTGTGTGAATTTGCAAGAACTGAAAAGAGGGTGATTGATTTGATCACTAGCAGGTTGCTACTGTTAACGAGTGTAATACAAATAGGAAATTCAGACCACTCACCCTCAAAGTAAAAAGTTGCAATTTTTGAAACATGGTGGTTTGAGTGTTAAGGACTTTTATTTTAAATGAAAAAAACTGTCCATTTCGAGTTTGTATCACACTTTCACAACCGCTTGAAGGTCAGCAAATGTTTTCAGACATATTTGTGTATTTCATACAAACTACAAGTGACCACAGCAACCTACTGACCAAAGCAATTGCACAGAGGGTTTCAGTGCAGCACCGTATAGCTCTTTGCAACCAATTTCACTTGGCGATAGCAGCAAGCAGCCTCCTGAAACCACTTGCCAATGGTAAGGAATACTTAGTCAATTTCACAGAAACCTCACGCAACCAGTCAAAACCGGTTGAGCAACCCTCCACCCACCTCCTCTGTATCTTTTATCAGACATAACTGGTTACCAGGAGATTGCAGACCAGTCTCTCAACTTATGTGATTGGAGCTGTGACTTTTTTCTTCATCTGGTTTTTCTGTCAGTGGAAAAACTCAGCTGTGTGAGAAGGGTATGGAATAGAGGTCAGGCGAGATGGGTAAGATAGGTGAAATGTTTTATTCAAGGGGGGGAGGATGATGGATGCTACTACAGCTCTACGGTTAACAAGTCAAGAGTCAGCAAATGTTGACTTTATACCGTTTTAGCTGTTCAGCTGATATCTACCCACTTAAGTTAACTACTTATAGTAGACTCATTGTTGTACTGAACATGCGACATTGCTAGAAAACTGCCGGAACATGTTTCTCTTATTGTGTTTCACTGGCATTTAAACAAGATACACTGACAATATTCTTCCTTAAAAAAACAGGTTTCATATGCTGTCATTATAATTAAGATATTGAGTGTGCTCTGCCAGATCAAGAAATCTGTTTAATTCACTCAAGCATAACCTCACACCAACTACAAAACAAACATTGCATTGTTCTAAGTCTAACACCCCACTTAACCACCCCATACAAAATTTACAACAAAATGATCATATTGACTCCTGAGGCAATACTTATGCCCTAGATGTCCAGAGCAAACAAAAAGGGATGTTAAAGAATATACATGTGTGGTACTTGTCTCAAATACTCCCAGACAAAACACAGTCCTTTGGATCTTTATGTGACAAACTAAGACAGCCTCTCTCTGGCAGCCGTCTCTGTTTAGCCTCTTGCTGGTGCACCTTGATGACTGTGTAAGCTCTCCAGCACTAGTACAGGCTAAGCTGCAGCAAAAAGAGAGGCAGGTTTGGCTCAGGATCAGAGCTAAGTGAAAAGGTTAGGACTGCTGAGAGTAATCTTTAGAAGTGGTTTTCAAAGCATGAAGTTCCCACAACAACAGGTCATATGACCTTTTGGGTAAAAGAAATGTTTGGTCAATAGTAGCACCCCTTACATGAGAGAAAGCCTTGTAGTGTGTTTCTGTAAATAATAAAATGATGTATCCACTGCTCTTTTTGCCTGTCATAAATAAGTTAAACAGCTAATACTGTCTCTAACAGGTACTGTGTACTACATAATTATTTAAAGAAAATGAGAATACCCAGGCCAGTCCAACTCCTAGAGCAATGTAAACCAAACTGTGCAAGCAACTTCCTTTTATGGTTGTACTCTCCGTACCTGTCCTTTTACTTCTTTATGGCTATAACAAACTGCAAGTAAAAAAAAAAATCATCTGTATAGATTTGAATGCAGTTATAGACTTATAAGAGTTGTTGTATGTTATGCACACAATATGCACACTGATTTCAAATCAGTGCAGTTAAGAGTCCAATGCATTCTGCTTTCATTTAAATCTGTTTCTCTCGTCTCTGTGAATGGTAGACATGAGCATTGATCAGTGGTCACGACTATTTGCATAGTAATGATCGTGAAACTGAGCTCATGGCTCACTGTTAGTCAGTGGTGCTAGTTTTTGTCATTATGCAAAAGTACTGTTTATAAGGTTAAGGAAACCTACAGTGAACTGAGACTGAAGAAGTCACGTGAATGTGTAACAAAACATTTCTCCTGCTACATCCAAATGAATGGAGAAAACTTTCTCTGATTTTTCTCCACTCCTTTGCTTTTTTTGGTTCACCATGTGTGTGCTGATAAAGAAAGAGTTTAAGGTAACTTGTCACATTACTGGAAATGAAATTCCAGTACAACTGTGGATGCTCCTTAATCCAAAAATGAACCAATATCAACCCCAAATTTTTGGAAGACAGCTGCCAAAACAATCCTGAATATGATGACAAAGGTCAGAATGCCACAAGCTCTGCTGCTGATAGTGGAGTTAGTCGTGTCCGAGGCACTGGCTGGACTCTTGCTGATATAGTTGAAGCACAAGAAAGAGATTAGGGCAACTCCTGGCTCCATAAGACCAACATTTAGGCTACATACAAAAGTAAAAGAAAACGAAAATGAAGCCAAGAGAGAAAAGCAATGTTGTCCCCTCCCTTTGAGCTTTGCTCCACTTGATTTTACCTGAATACAGTCAACTAAGGAGAAATATACTTTTATTTCATAGGTATTCTGCTTAATATGTCCTTGGGACTAAGCACCAAAGAACAGTTGCCTCATAGATAAGGCAAAGACTGTGTCTCATTTATGGCAATCTGATCAACTAGAATGCATTTTATGCTTCAATGAATGAAACAGTCAAAAATATTTTTATTCAAATCCTGGAGCATTTCCTTTGGGAGTGACCAAAACCTCTCTGGTGGGACCAAAATTCTTTGTATGCAGGATAAACCCTGAATTTGTGATTATCGTATCATCATTGTCAGTAGCAATGACAGTAAAACATTTCCCTAAGCAAAACAAGGGTATTATGATTCGTATGTGTCAAATAAATGCAGTGGTTTCTGTAAAAATCACTAAGTGGCTTAATATTTAAATGAGCAAATACATTATCACTTCAGAAGGATAATAACAGAACACATTAAGAAGAAGCACCAACAGGTAAGAGCGCTGTTGAACAACCACAGATTCAAGATATTCAGCCACTAGGTTAAGGCAAGTCCCTATTTGCATGAATGTAATGGTTGGCTATAAATACTGGAGTCCTGCTCAATTTGGATCATTTTAACATTGGCTCTAGCAGGCAGCATTCAAAAGCCCCTCACTTGGCTAGGTTCCTGCACAATGATAAATGATGATAAATAGAATCTAACAGCAATACATATATTCAAATACTAAAGACTGACAATATGTGACACCAACCTTTCAAGTGGGGATATGCTATAGCCAATACGAGTGGGAGAAAAACTGACACAAATATGAGAGATTTTGATATTTCGACTGCCAATAAAGGGACATCAAATATCAATAATGTATTACAGAAATTAAAATACTCTTGTGCACCACCAATCCTGAGATAATTTTAGCCCAACAATATTACATTTTGTTACAAGGAAACTACAAGGAAACAAATCTGAACACACTCAGCTTGACAAAGCTACCTCCTAATTCAGAACAAGCTAACAGCTCACTCACAAGTAAAAATAGGATAGCAACCTCACTGCATCTACTAAAATTGGTGATGGCATCAATTTTTTTTCGCATACTGTAGTGTCTGAATGGTTGCTCAGATTTTGAGAGTGTTTCACAATCACAACCACTTTTGGTCGCAAGGCAACTGCACAGGTGGCCAGATAGGAGGCAACCTTTCTGCAAACAGTCACAGTCTTACTTAGACTTACTGCAATCACTCAAGTGAGACTGCTAAAGGTTTGCAAATAATTTCTATCTAAGCTATAAATGCAGACACATTGCCAATATGTTACCACCAGTCTGAATGCGTTTCCAGGAGACTCGACTCAGCTGGCTTTGAGCTGGATGTATTCTGGTTATAATCCTTTTTATTAGGAAAGTTGTTGAGTGTAAATGTAGCAGTTCAATATGAATTTCTGATAAATGATACAAATATGTGATAGCAATAGATATTTGATTTTTGACCATTTATCACAGTTAATTGTTGTATTAGCATAAAAAGATTGCATGCAATTGCCAACTTGAACCATTTGAATCACACACTGATAGCAAACTGACTCCACCTTAAGATAACATTTCTGGCAGTGTTGATATGCCTGAAATCTCATTTTGCACCAAAAAGAAAAATAACTTATCAAATAAGGTCATCTTATTGAATGAAAAAAAGATCAGTGATATCTAGAGAAAACTGCTGTTACTCGAAAACTTTTTTTCAACATAAACTTTCTCAACAAATAACATTTAAACTCATCTCTCAGAAGAAATTATATACATATTATTAAGGCTTATTACAATAAATATTACATAAATTAAAACACTCCACTGTAAACTAATATCAGAGTAGGTCTTCAGCTGGTTTAGCATGTAAGACAATGTCCTATCCTATCCAAGTCAACCTAATTGTATTTAAATAATGCTAAGTCACAACAACAGGTCCCCCAAGGTGCTTCTAAAAGTAAAGAAACTCAGACACCATGTAGAATGATCAGTGTAACTTTTCTTCTCTATGTGCATCACTCTAATTTTGCACTTTGAACATTCCCTCACATCAGTTCTGATAGTTTCAGTAATCTACATCCAGCAATTTGCTGAAATCTGTGACTCCTTATATTGATGTTATGCTTATTATTTTTTATTACTGAGACAATGATTGTTATTCTCTCAATGATAAATATAAAACCTGCGGTGAAAAAGTAGCCAGAAATGCACAAGAGATATTGCTGCATCGACGCAAAGTGTAGTTACATTTCTAGGAAGGTACACGTCAGGTTATGGTGTAGAGTTTCAGAAGGGTTTGTGGTTATGATGTAGCTACAGAGCAGATTTCCTGCTGAGCCATAATTTCCCAGTCAGCAGTTAGCAATAAGCTAGCTAGTTTTTTTTTTAGCATCTGTTACCCCATGGCTCACTATAGTACCTTTGTGTTAATATAAACACATTACAGCAGACAATCTCTTTCTAAAAAGACTTGGATAAGGGTTCATTTGTTCTTAAACAACAGGAAAAAAAGTGCATTTATATTCAGGAAGCAGACACTGAAAACAGACAAATCATAACCAGGTTAGCAATTAATATGTTGTTATGTGGTCTGAGTTATGTGTAACCAAAAGGTTCTATATCCCAGGCTTAATCCTCATAGTGAAACCTTACTTGGCTCATCTGTAAGCCCCAAGGCTCTAGTATACACAGAGATTATTGTTATTATTTTACACCTCATTCTAAACATGTTGTACACATACTGAGGTCTAAGAAAAAGCCATAGAACATGTAAAATGACAACGTAATTCTTGGGGGACTGTTCAACCTGAAGACACCACACACATACGGAAAAGGTTTGGTCGGTTGTCAGAACTAGGTTACTGTTAATGCTGTGGTATTGGGTGTGCTTAGTCAGACCAAGAAAGTCTAGTGTACCAAGGATAAACTCAAACCGACTTGCTCCTGCTACGCAAACATGGCCCAGTGGGTGTTAACATTGCAGTAAGCCTACAACCCCATCTAAGCAATCGTTCAACTACTTAGCTAAACCCTACAAAATCCACAAAAGAAAGACAATTTTAACTAGATACGTATGACTGGAAAACCTAATAAGTCAACAAAGGACATAACTCATGTGAAATTATGCAACTACTCAGCCAAACCTGTTTGACCAGAACGGTAAAGTATGGATGAGCCTTTAGATCACCCTTCACAACTGACTGATATGCTCATGTGTGACTGTGTGTAAGCTGAAACTACTTGTTTAGCCAATGTAAATATGAGGCTGAACTCAAGCAAGGTTTTGCAGAAAAAGCTAATGCATTTGTCCATCAACACAACCACAACACCACCATAAAGTGCTATTTGAACTTCCCACATAGACTAATGAAGTTATCCATTAAGGATATCTTGGGCCCATCTGCTAATGTCAGTACATTCAGGCATGAGTGGAACTGTTCTCCCTCGTTTGTCCATTATAATCCCTTTAGGATCAGATGATACATGTGCCGATATATCAGCTAATTAGAGAATGCAATAAAGCACGTCCGAAGCAAAGAAATGTTTCAGAGTCCGATTCAAGAAATATTCAGTCATCTGCTTGCTGGTACTTCACAGTAAGTTGAGGCCTGTCAATATAGAATCTCCGTATGATAGAAGGTCGCAAAATTGCACAACAGGGGTGAGGTGGCAGCTATCGCTGTTGCCACTAAACAGAACTCCACATGACCCCACTAGGTTGAGGGGGGTCATGTAGGCTACGTGTGCAAATGGCAAACCCCTGGAAACAGACTACCGACAGAAACGGTAGCCACCAGGTCGAGAAGTCGCATTTCAATATCACCCAATTTCCATGATATGAACACCTAATATGGGTATGACAGTGTATTATCAGTAATGTGAGTGTAACACCTTGACGCTAATAATGCTACGTTGTGACTGTTAACCTAACTGCACAAGCTAGACAACTATTTGTCGTAAACCAACTCGAGTAAGCTAAAATGTCTTCTGTTAGCTAAGCCACTTATAAAACTAAGACATATAATACACGTCTCAAAGTCTTTTCTAAACTGGGAGAAACAGCAACCTGCTAAGACGACTGACAACAAGGCAGGAAATAAAAACAGCTAAGCTGAGCGTCAACGGCACGGCAAACGTCAGTTATACCAGACTGCTAAATTGCTACCGTCAGCTAGCGAGCAACTTAGCTTACAAGCTAACGGTACTTTTTTTTTCCCAAACAAGGAAAATCAAAACAGCTGTCATTAGCACATAATGAAATAAAGGACCATTGGTGGGTGTTTGCTAGACCGTGCAGAGAGGGTGTCGAGATTTGCCCTTAATACTCACACCCAGCGCTTAGCTTAATCATTAGCAGAGGTGTGTGTGTGTGTGTGTGTTTGTGTGTATGTGTGTGTGTGTGTGTAACGCAGGCCCGAGCGGAGCGGCTGTCGGACGTAGACCGACCCGACCGAAGGGGGGGAAATCTCTGCTGTAGCCAGCTGAGTGCATACGGGTAGCAGATACCCAACGAGAACATCCTGTGAAGGCGTGAAAGCAGCTGATATCCCGACCCGAGCAGCCACGCAAGGCCACAGAAGAGCCGACAACCTGTAACGCTGAATCTAAGCGCCGTTCCCGTTGTGAATATGAGCCGAGAAAAAAGAAAACAGTGAAAAACAGCGGCCATTCCGAAGCTGAACAAAAGAGTGCGTTCGTACTCGCCACCGCAAAATGACACATCGCTGTTACACACGCCTGAACGAGAGGCTGACAAGTACGTTACATCTAGAGCAATGCGTTACCGTGCTGTGGGGATAAAAACGTCCAATGTTAATGTACTAAAATAACTGCTTTACCTTCAGAGGTGTGACTCCGCCATCCTTGCTGCTTCCTCCTCTTTTCCTACACTGCTGCTCTGCTCCCCTCCCTCCCCCGGTCACCAAACTGCGTCATTCACACGCCTAACCAATGTTATCACGAGACTTTGAAATGCAATCAAACGTCCATTATTTTACAAACATTTATCTGTGAAAATCAATCTGAGACAATAATAATGATTGATTACAAACCGGAGCATTAAAACAATGTATTGAAAAGAAAATTAAAAAAGAAAACGAACTCATACAAATCTCTGACTTTTATTAACTGTAAAACTGTGCAAATACATTCTAAAAACAACTAAAAAGAGATGAATGTCCTTAAAAAAGCAAGCGGATTTGTTTTCTAATTTATGTCATGTCTCTTCTTTTTTTTTACACTTATGAAAGTTTTCTGAGTTTTCAGCTCCTGAAAACGCCCCCTCCTGAAAACGCCCCCTCATAAGTGTAAAAAAAAAAAAACCTGCAACCACTTGGGGCTGTGTCCAAAAGTTATTCGCTCCCATGTTAAAATACACACAGCAAAATGTGTAGACTTGCAAAATAGATGCAAAATAAAATCCAATGAATAAATAAAATTGTTCAATGTACATTTAAAACAGTACTACAACAGGCAATTCTATAATTACAACCTATACACTGGGCCACCTTTACAAATACAAGACAGATTCAAGCATCAGCAATCTAATTTAAACCACATCATGAACCCATCTGCATAATAAACAATACAAGCATGGTACAATCACAGAGAAATATAGTCAGAGCTATAAAGGTGCAAAAATATCTGTAGTTATGGCTTAGTGCACAATATATGAGAGACTTTCTCTGCAGAAATGGGTTAATGAACTCATCAAACACTAGGATACTTGTGAATCCAGAATATATAAAGGCTGCAGTTTGTTTTGCAATCTTTGACTGAGCTCATGCTTTTAAACCTTGTTGCACAAGCTAAAAAATTGACTCTTTTTTAGTCTAATTTAGACATATGGGGGTTAATCCAAACATTCCGAATTGCATAAGCCCATGCCCCACAAAACCATTTCTAGTGCAATTGCTGTAGATCCACTACGGAGCTACTGTTAACCAAATAATTAACATGAGTGTGATTGTTACTGCAATAACTTACTAGTGATGCGAGGGGGCAGAGGCCACACAGTTATGGATGGGACTGATAATGCCACCCTTTCATTCTATATGATAACTTCTGGCTTCAAAAACAATAACATGGCAGCAGACAAAATGCTTATGTTAGCTTTCATAATGGGGAGTACAAAAACCAGTGGTCATGTCCATGTTTTATATACAGTTTGTTATCTTTACACATTTAATTTACAGTGAATACAATTTACAGATGACAGTGGAAATACACTGCTCAAAAAATAAAATAAAAAAATAAAGGGAACACAAAAATAAGACATCCCAGATCAGAATGAATGAAATATTCTTATTAAATACTTCTTTTTTTTTTTACAAAGTTGAATGTGCTAACACCTGTGGATGTCGGGCCCTAATTTACATTGTGTTGTTTAAGTGTTCCCTTTATTTTTTTGAGCAGTTTATAAAAGATCCAAAACCCATCGTTGTGTTGAGTTTTTGTGTTGTATATATCAAACAACTTGTCTAGCTCTAAAAATATTTTTAGTTTCATATAGATCCTAAGTGAGAGTAGATCATTCTAGAACATATTTTCACTTCATGTTTATTGTGGCAATAAAAAATAAGAAGAAAGAGATTATGCACGGACAAAATATATTTGTTGCAACCATGACATCCGTACTTGAGAGTGGTTATACTACAAACTAATAACGCTGTCAAGTATTCATTCAAAATTGTATTTTAAGGTACTCATTTTTTATATCCCACTGAAACATATATAAAATACTTGAAATATATACAAAACTTTGAAGGTGAAATAATGCTTTTCATCTGCAGTAATTTCCCCTGACAGATCTAATATTTTTTGTTTAAAAATGTGAGTACTCGACACACCCCTTAGCTATTTTCAAGCCAACCAGAAGCCATCTCTCTGCATATACAGAAACATTACCAACCTATATCAGTGCAATAAGTGCACATAATTATTTTCCTTCTCTGGCTGGTCCCTTTATGGTTCACCATAGTGGATCATCTGCCTCCATCACATCCTACGCCTAGCATCCTCTTCTGTCACACCAACTATGTCCTCCTTCACTACATCAACAAATCTTCTGGTCTTCTTTTCTTTACTCCTGCCTGGCAGCAGTCTTGTCTCTATAACTTTGTCTCCAATATGCTTAAACTCATCTACCTCTGCTCCTTACAGCTACACTGTCACACATGTGTCTCTCTCATCCATACACATGTTCTGTCCAAAAATAAAAGTACAAAAAGGCGCTCAATGACCCTGTAAAGCCTGCTTCATAGCGTCAAACATTATTCAAGTTATTGAGTTTTGCTATTCTGCTAGCTGCCTATAGGTGCCAGTAAAACACTGTTCAAATTAAATAGACAACAGAAGAAAATCACGTGATTCTTGCGGACGCGTTGGCTTGACAACTGTAATCTTTACCTGGTGCTGAAGGTGAGAAAAAGATTTCCATTTTACACATGCCCGAGTGGGTGAATAGTATTGATTTGTTTATACTGTTGTGCATTGGTGAGACATTGTGTCTTTGGATTAGAGAGCGTTCGCTAAAAGCAAAGCTATCGTTAGTGTAGCTAGCTAGCTAGTACTGTGTACTGACCTGTGGCTAACCTTCTGACCAGTTTATTATAAACTATGTAATACCCCCTATTAAACTTAACAGGCTCCTTGAATTTTGCATTCCCTCTCGAGCGGAGAGCATTTAATGATGCAAAAACTATTCGGAATTTATGAATATGTGTCAAAAAGTCGTGAAATGTCCAAATATGCTTACCTTTCAGCGAGCACTCAGAGGACACCATGCCAGAGGTCAAATCAATATTCAGAGAAGTTCTGCCTAAACAAGGTTTGTACCAAAGCTATGTGGACAGCAGTAGTTACAAAAGGTTGTTTGTGTCTCTCAAGACAACACGTGAAGTGAACTGAAATTTCACAATAGCTTGGAGATTTAATCAAGATATGCCCTGTGGTCTCTCCTGAAAGTCTTTTCTGGCTTAAAAATATAATTCGGGTCAACATTTGGGACAATATTGCTTTTCTTTAGTTAAAGGTGTACGGGTTGTTAGTAAGAACAAGCTGTTCAGTGGCTCACAATCAGATGTGTAAGATGCCAGATTGGTAACTAGTTGACCAGATATCAAAAATATTGTTGAATTCTTCCGGAGTGGTTGAAAAGATATAAGTTTATAGATGTAGCATCGTATATTTGAAACTCCTTTAAATAGAACAGTAGCTCTGTTTGCAGTACTATAAAGATTAAAGTGTAAAGAGAACATTTCTCACAGCTAATGTGCTGCAGACTTTTATGAGAAATAGCAGACATGCTAGGTTTTTACATAATATTTTCATTTATGCTTAAATTAAAATTAAAATTTAATCATTTGTGGATTGTTTGAATGCACCTCACAGGACAGCTCTCCATGGAAGATGTCCCTACTATGGTTTTGTGTAAGCCAAAGCTGCTCCCACTCAAATCAGTCACCCTTGAGAAACTGGAGAAAATGCAAATGGAGGCTCAAGAGGCTGTTAAACAACAGGAACTGGCAATGAAGGAGCAACTACAGTAGATACCCAGTGAAGGATTGGAAAAAAACAAATGCCTAAACTGGCAAAAGTCCTTCAGATGGATCAAGCAAACACACTGATTCCAAGCACTGGAATGTATTTGTATGGACTTGGAGGGAATCTGGCGTTACAGAGTTAAAAAAAAAAAAGAAAGTGTTTAATCCCTCTTTGTCCCTTTTGAAAGTCTTGCTGTTCTGTGGTTATTGTTGAATGATCTATAGCATGGAATTAGCAAAGATTATATCTGTTACTTGCCAGTAGGGGTAGTGAGCTACTTAGGTACTACTTTAAAGTGTTATATTATCATTATTATTATATCTTTCAGATAACTGCTTATTTAAGTTGCAGTATGCAGTTAGTACTGTGTGTTAAACAGACAAAAACAGATGAAATGATTTCATAGTGATTTAATCAACAATCAAGGAACGTCAGGGTGTCTCTCACACTCCTTATTCCCCAAATATAAAAATAAACACTTTTAACACACCACTTTGTGAAGTTACCTGATTGGTATTCGTTTTTGCACAGAACTCATGCCACGGATGTGTGATTAAAGACTGAAAACCTAGCACAGCATAGAAACAGCAGCTAGTTTGGAAGCCAGTATTGCATTGAACCAACAAACTCCCTTTTATTTTATTTTTTTTAATACATTTTTATAAAGCTCTTGACACAAACCAGTCATGTCAATACAAACACTGCTTTCTAGAAAACACAAAAGGAGTGGCAGTGAAAACAAGAAAATACTGTACAAAACAATGTGGAATGACTGACACGGAGAGGTGTGGCACTTTAAGAGCTAGCTTATGTAAATGTTTATATTGAAACACCTTGGAGAGAGTGATCTACTTCAGTTTCAATCACAAGTGCATTTTTTTTTTTAAATTACCCTTACCTCAATTTTGGAAATGTACCTTCTTTTGACCATTAGAAAGGAGAAAAACCATTTTTCAGGTACTTTGAAAAATATGCAAGTAAAAAAGTAGCTTTATGTTTTTTGGGGTAATCTGGCACACAAAGTCTTCTCAGTAGCTTTCAAGTTTGACAACACCACCGTCTCCCTCGCTGACATACCTCTTACGGCCCCTGAGAGAAGATAAGAGCAACAACATGATTAACAAAAACAGAAGCACATCTCTGGAGACGAGTGTCAGATGTGTGTGAAAACCAGCGTGCTTACCGACAGGGACAGAGATCCCTCAACTTTACATCAATGATTCCCATGCTGAAGCTCTTGTCAACAAACTGCTCCAAGATAAAGTATGCACGAGGGACATCAATGTTGATCTCAGCGATGTCCATGTAAACTCTTTGGTAGCCCTACAAGAAAAAGACAACCATTTTACAGGGCTACAAAAAAAGGA